TATCTGATATCTCATACTGATATATAATACTGATATATCAGTAGCAATCCCGGTTGCAATTCTTTTGACCATATCGTGGCTCAGTCGATTAAGGCGCGTCTGAGATCATCATGGACATAAGTTCGAACCCTCATCACGGCCCATGTTGATTTATCAAAGCGATGTCATGGTGGTGCTGGAGCCAGGGTCAGGTGATGACCTTCACACAAGGTCCAGCGGATGTCAGAGGTTGTCCCCCCTCCCCCCCCCCCAGGGTACATCACTACACTCATTTCATTCTTACAACATTCACTACAAGTGTTACAACACCACACTCTCTCATTCAAAACAATACTTTGTATAGCAATGTTTTTCACTACAAGTCTTAATATAACACACTCTGTTTTCATTACAGGTCTTACAACACCACACACAAACAATGATTCACTACAAGTCTCAGTATAACACTGTCATTCGCTACAAGTCTTTATATAACACTGTCATTCACTACGTCTTAGTATAACACTGTTATTCACTACAAGTCTTAGTATAACACAGCCATTCACTACAAGTCTTAGTATAACACAATCATTCACTACAAGTCTTAATATAACACGGTCATTCACTACAAGTCTTTACATAACACAGTCATTCACTACACGTCTTACAACACCACACACAAACAGTCATACACAACAAGTCTCAGTATAACACTGTTATTTACTACAAGTCTTAGTATAACACAATCATTCACTACAAGTCTTAGTATAACACTGTCATTCACTACAAGTCTTTATATAACACAGTCATTCACTACAAGTCTTAGTAAAACACTGTCATTCACTACAAGTCTTAGTATAACACAGCCATTCACTACAAGTCTTAGTATAACACTGTCATTCACTACAAGTCTTAGTATAACACAATCATTCACTACAAGTCTTAGTATAACACTGTCATTCACTACAAGTCTTAGTATAACACAATCATTCACTACAAGTCTTAGTATAACACTGTCATTCACTACAAGTCTTAGTATAACACAATCATTCACTACAAGTCTTAGTATAACACTGTCATTCACTACAAGTCTTTATATAACACAGTCATTCACTACAAGTCTTAGTATAACACAATCATTCACTACAAGTCTTAGTATAACACAATCATTCACTACAAGTCTTAGTATAACACTGTCATTCACTACAAGTCTTAGTATAACACAATCATTCACTACAAGTCTTAGTATAACACTGTCATTCACTACAAGTCTTAGTATAACACAATCATTCACTACAAGTCTTTATATAACACTGTCATTCACTACGTCTTAGTATAACACTGTTATTCACTACAAGTCTTAGTATAACACAGCCATTCACTACAAGTCTTTATATAACACAATCATTCACTACAAGTCTTAGTATAACACAGCCATTCACTACAAGTCTTAGTATAACACAATCATTCACTACAAGTCTTAGTATAACACTGTCATTCACTACAAGTCTTAATATAACACGGTCATTCACTACAAGTCTTTACATAACACAGTCATTCACTACAAGTCTTACAACACCACACACAAACAGTCATACACAACAAGTCTCAGTATAACACTGTTATTCACTACAAGTCTTAGTATAACACAATCATTCACTACAAGTCTTAGTATAACACTGTCATTCACTACAAGTCTTTATATAGCACAGTCATTCACTACAAGTCTTAGTATAACACTGTCATTCACTACAAGTCTTAGTATAACACAATCATTCACTACAAGTCTTAGTATAACACTGTCATTCACTACAAGTCTTAGTATAACACAGTCATTCACTACAAGTCTTAGTATAACACTGTCATTTACTACAAGTCTTAGTATAACACAATCATTCACTACAAGTCTTAGTATAACACTGTCATTCACTACAAGTCTTAGTATAACACAATCATTCACTACAAGTCTCAGTATAACACTGTCATTCACTACAAGTCTTAGTATAACACAATCATTCACTACAAGTCTTAGTATAACACTGTCATTCACTACAAGTCTTTATATAACACAGTCATTCACTACAAGTCTTTATATAACACAATCATTCACTACAAGTCTTAGTATAACACAGCCATTCACTACAAGTCTTAGTATAACACAATCATTCACTACAAGTCTTAGTATAACACTGTCATTCACTACAAGTCTTAATATAACACGGTCATTCACTACAAGTCTTTACATAACACAGTCATTCACTACACGTCTTACAACACCACACACAAACAGTCATACACAACAAGTCTCAGTATAACACTGTCATTCACTACAAGTCTTAGTATAACACTGTCATTCACTACAAGTCTTAGTATAACACAATCATTCACTACAAGTCTTAGTATAACACTGTCATTCACTACAAGTCTTAGTATAACACAATCATTCACTACAAGTCTCAGTATAACACAATCATTCACTACAAGTCTTAGTATAACACAGTCATTCACTACAAGTCTTAGTATAACACAATCATTCACTACAAGTCTTAGTATAACACAGTCATTCACTACAAGTCTTAGTATAACACAATCATTCACTACAAGTCTTAGTATAACACAGTCATTCACTACAAGTCTTAGTATAACACTGTCATTCACTACAAGTCTTAGTATAACACAGTCATTCACTACAAGTCTTAGTATAACACTGTCATTCACTACAAGTCTTAGTATAACACTGTCATTCACTACAAGTCTTAGTATAACACAATCATTCACTACAAGTCTTAGTATAACACAATCATTCACTACAAGTCTTAGTATAACACAATCATTCACTACAAGTCTTAGTATAACACAATCATTCACTACAAGTCTCAGTATAACACGGTCATTCACTACAAGTCTTAGTATAACACTGTCATTCACTACAAGTCTTAGTATAACACAGTCATTCACTTCAAGTCTTAGTATAACACAATCATTCACTACAAGTCTTTATATAACACTGTCATTCACTACGTCTTAGTATAACACTGTTATTCACTACAAGTCTTAGTACACCACACAGTGTCACACAGAATCACGTACAACACCGTGACCTTATCAGAAGGTAGAGAGTCACATTCAGCGTTCAGAAATACACTCAGTGTTCCCAGTGAGGCAGCTGAGGTGTGTATATATGCTCTCTACACGACCCTCGGCTCCATAAACAATGATCCCTATTTTTAACACGTGGTCTTGTTTATCTTGTGACGTTTTTAACACGTGGTCTTGTTTATCTTGTGACGTTTTTAACACGTGGTCTTGTTTATCTTGTGACGTTTTTAACACGTGGTCTTGTTTATCTTGTGACGTTTTTAACACGTGGTCTTGTTTATCTTGTAACGTTTTTAACACGTGGTCTTGTTTACCTTGTGACGTTTTTAACACGTGGTCTTGTTTATCTTGTGACGTTTTTAACACGTGCTCCTTGTTTATCTTGTGACGTTTTTAACACGTGCTTATGTTTATCTTGTGACGTTTTTAACACGTGGTCCTTGTTTATCTTGTGACGTTTTTAACACGTGCTCCTTGTTTATCTTGTGACGTTTTTAACACGTGCTCCTTGTTTATCTTGTGACGTTTTTAACACGTGGTCTTGTTTAGAATATTTTAACTTAACGTCTTTCTTATACTCTTCGCAACTTTGTTTTACTTCCAAGTAAGTGTATGTGGAATATTTATTTAGATAATTAATTCTCTTTGTTCTTCATATTATTGATTTGAAAATTATTTTTTGAAAACGATAATTATCCTATTGATGTCCAAATTATTTATACACACTGCATGATGTGTCTTAGTATGTGTTAATGTGTCATGGGAAAATATATGCGTATGTTGTATAGATTTGTTACCAAGTTCTCTCTCAAAATAAAGTAAATTTTATGGGGAAAATATTATGCAGCTCGAAGTTTCATTCTAATGTTAAATGTGAAACAGAACATCACTCTTAAAGTTAATGATAGCTATGTTTCAGTATGATTTTTATTATTGTCAAGATGAATATGTCACTTGATCAGGAATTTGGGATCTAATTCTATTCATTTCTAAATCATGCTAATGATGAAGCTCTCTAAATTATATATATTCCAAGACTAAAATATTATCCAATTCACTAGAGGTTCGTAGTCATTAACTTTGCATGAATCAGTACAGTTAGTGAATGATTTAAATCTCATAAATGAACGAACGCAGCATTTGACTTTTGACTTGCTCTAATAGTTCACTTATCTTCATTGATTCTGTTGTCAGGATATGTATATGCGGGCGCGCGCACACACACTCACACACACACACAAAAAGTGTATAGTGTATATATATTTTAGTGTATTTTGGTAGCAATCTTCCTTGTAAGCATATAATATTGAATGTGACAGAAACAGTAAGGTCAATGATTATTGCGCGAATCTTCTGTATTTTTCTTACTCTTATCATGACTTGAAAAGGAAGTTGAAAAATTTACTCCAAAGTTAATTTTTTCGAATTTGTTTTTAGCTTGACGCTTAGAGCTGAATCTCCTAGCGTCTGACCAAATAAAATCGTAAAACCTTTGGAGAGTTAATTTATCAACTTTCTTCTCAAGTGATGGAAACGTGTCATTTTAATTACATAAAAGTTATCACACGATTTTGATAATGGTTCAGGACGGACCGAAACGTCGTGGTCTCCTCGTCTTGATGAGGAGACCATCAAGATGATGTATGGTTTGGTCAACATATCTTCAGCTACGTTACTGTGACTCATCGTTTGGTATTTCATTTCAGAAAACAAGTCCAATGCTACTTCAACATATGGCCTTCTTAGCCTACAATACAATCAAATAAACACTGAAATATCATTTATCTTAACAAGATTTAACACATACATTGACGAACTAAATAACTATCTATCCCAAACGTTTATACCAAATATTTTGTTTATATAAAAATAATGTGTTTAGCTGCATTTAAGAGTAGAATATGTGTTTGGTGTTTCGGCAGGCGCGTCTGGGCTTCCTGGAGGTGGAAGCCATCTCTCTGGCAGACGCCGGAAACTATACCTGCAGGGTGGACTTCATGACATCACAGACCATGATGTCATTGTTGCAACTCACTATCCACGGTGAGTCTGTCTGTCTCCCTCCCTCACTCTCCCTTGCACGTGCTTCCGTGTTGCCATAATCAGTTGCTCACCCTCACACAGGGGAGTCCACACGCTATTTCAAGGAAACCCTTAACAAGGCTGTGCCCATCCATAAATAGACTCGCAGTTGCATGACTTCTACATTGCTTTTGCATTACGACAGAGCCAAACGACACCTGAACACACACACACACACACACACACACACACACACACACACACACACACACACACACACACACACACACACACACACACACACACACACACACACACACACACACACACACACACATACATATATATATATTATTCTATTTCCAACAGAGGACATCAAGAGCATTAAGGTATATGACGCCTATGAGACGATGGTAGGGGAAGTTGCCGGGCCGTACGAACTTTCATCCAGGATCATGCTGTCCTGCCGGGCGTATGGTGGTAAGTTCATCCACCTTTATTCTCTTATTTCTTGCAATGAGGCTTTTGTAAATATTTTTAAGTCATTATTACGACTGTAAACTGTTTATTGAACTGCATTTGGGTCGTGTTATTTTCTGTCCATGTTTACTGTTGATATATTTGCTCGTTGGTGAAGAGTCGGATAAAAACAGGGTTTTTATTTATTCGTGTTTAGGGCCATTTCCTTGAATCCCAGTTCCTTGTCCTCATGTCCCAGTTCCTTGTCCTCATGTCCCAGTTCCTTGTTCTCATGTCCCAGTTCCTTGTTCTCATATCCCTGCTCCTTATTCTCATATCCCAGCTCCTTGTCCTCATATCCCAGCTCCTTGTTCTCATATCCCAGTTCCTTGTCCTCATGTCCCAGTTCCGTCTCCTAATATTCCAGCTCATTGTCCGCGTATCCGAGCTCCTTGTCCTCATATTCCAGCTCCTTATTCTCATATCCCAGCTCCTTGTCCTCATATCCCAGCTCCTTGTTCTCATATCCCTGCACCTTGTTCTCATATCTCAGCTCCTTGTCCTCATATCCCAGCTTCTTCTCCTCAGTATCCCAGCTCCTTGTCCTCATATCCCAGCTCCTTGTCCTCATATCCCAGCTCCTTGTCTTCATACCCCAGCTCCTTGTCCTCATATCCCTGCTCCTTGTCCTCATATCCCAGCTCCTTGTTCTCATATCCCAGCTCCTTGTCCTCATATCCCAGCTCCTTGTCCTCATATCCCAGCTCCTTGTCCTCATATCCCTGCTCCTTGTCCTCATATCCCTGCTCCTTGTCCTCATATCCCAGCTCCTTGTTCTCGTATCCCTGCTCCTTGTCCTCATATCCCTGCTCCTTGTCCTCATATCCCAGCTCCTTGTCCTCATACCCCAGCACCTTGTCCTCATATCCCTGCTCCTTGTCCTCATATCCCAGCTCCTTGTCCTCGTTTCCCTGCTCCTTGTCCTCATATCCCAGCTCCTTGTCCTTGTATCCCAGGTCCTTGTCCTCATATCCCAGCTCCTTGTCCTCATATCCCAGCTCCTTGTCCTCATATCCCTGCTCCTTGTCCTCATATCCCAGCTCCCTGTCCTCGTGTCCCAGGTCCTTGTCCTCATATCCCAGCTCCTTGTCCTCATGTCCCAGTTCCTTGTCCTCATGTCCCAGTTCTTTGTCCTCATATCCCAGCTCCTTGTCCTCGCTCTTGTCATTGTCTACGGTTCTCTGAGTGTGATACCGTCTATTGTTTCCTGAGTGTGGCTCTGTTGTTGACTGATTATATCCCTGCCTATTATGTCCAACCCACCCTCAGTATGGAAGATGAGTCTGGCCCACCCCAGCATAGATGAGGGTGGGCTGGGAGTCTGGCCCACCCCCAGCATAGATAAGGGTGTGGGCTGGGAATCTGGCCCACCTCCAGCATAGATATGGGTGGGCTGGGAGTCTGGCCCACCCCAGCATAGATGAGGGTGGGCTGGGAGTCTGGCCCACCCCAGCATAGATGAGGGTGGGCTGGGAGTCTGGCCCACCCCCAGCATAGATGAGGGTGGGCTGGGAGTCTGGCCCACCCCCAGCATAGATGAGGGTGGGCTGGGAGTCTGGCCCACCCCCAGCATAGATGAGGGTGGGCTGGGAGTCTGGCCCACCCCCTGCATAGATGAGGTGGGCCGGGAGTCTGGCCCACCCCAGCATAGATGCGGGTGGGCTGGGAGTCTGGCCCACCCCCAGCATAGATAGGGGGTGGGCTGGGAGTCTGGCCCACCCCCAGCATAGATGATGGTGGGCTGGGAGTCTGGCCCACCCCCAGCATAGATGGGGGGCCAGGATTCTGGGCCGGGAGTCTGGCCCACCCCCAGCATAGATGAGGTGGGCCGGGAGTCTGGCCCACCCCCAGCATAGATAAGGGTGTGGGCTGGGAATCTGGCCCACCGCCAGCATAGACAGTGGGTGGGCTGGGAGTTCAGCCCACCCGAAGTATTGATGATATATCCGGCTCACCATCAGTATGGATATGCCTTGTCTGTCCTAACACACACAAAATATCCGGTCCACCTCAGCAGGGCTGAAAAGTCCACCTTCCCCAACGTTCAGCACCTGGCACAAGGTTGCCAGGTGCAGCCCGCCAAACACACACCGAAACTTCGACGTTGGTACAAAGTTGGAACAAGTTTTAACACCTCCTAACCAGTTATAACAACCAATATAGCAAGTTGTAACAACGTTCTAATTCGCCATAAACACGTTAAGCCAAGATGTAACAACTTTATTACAAGTTGTAACAAGCGGAAAATAGAGACAGTTTCGGTTGGTGTTTCCAGGGAGGTGGCTGTGTGTGTGTGTGTGTGTGTGTGTGTGTGTGTGTGTGTGTGTGTGTGTGTGTGTGTGTGTGTGTGTGTGTGGTGTGGTGTGTGTATGTGTGTGTGTGTGTGTGTGTGTGTGTATGTGTGTGTGTGTGTGGTATGTGTGTGTGTGTGTGTGTGTGTGTGTGTGTGTGTGTGTGTGTGTGTGTGTGTGGTGTGTGTGTGTGTGTGTGTGTGTGTGTGTATGTGTGTGTGTGTGTGTGTATGTGTGTGTGTATGTGTGTGTGTGTGTGTGGTGTGTGTGTGTGTGTGTGTGTTGTGTGTGTGTGTGTGTGTGTGTGTGTGTGTGTGTGTGTGTGTGTGTGTGTGTGTGTGTGTGTGTGTGTGTGTGTGTGTGTGTGTGTGTGTGTCCAGTGTCTGGCATGGCTGTAGGGGTGATGCAGGCGGTATTTACTTGCTTCCTGCTCACAAATCCACACCTTCACCTCCATTTATAATCATAGATTCCATGCTTGTTCATATGTATTTTTGGAGACAGATTACCTGTACTTTATAATTGTTCTCTGCATTGTATGTCACAGCTGCCACTTGATTAGGTTTGAGAATGAGACAAACATATTTTTTTTTATATTTTTGATTTGGGATGTATTTTGTCATAGATGTTTTCGTATATCGTTCTCTGTTTGCCTGTTATCCTCACTATGTGTTTTTGTTAGAGCAAGTGGAATTTTTAAGGTAATAATAGTACTAACATATCTTGTTTGCAACTAAGGCAGTGTGCCACTCTTTACAAAGACTGTTTTCTTGATTTGCCACAACGTACAAAATAATGGGTACTAAAACGCCACAACCCCAAGCCACCCACCTAACCTAACTAACATACACATGCAAAACGTGGGTATATGTGAGCCGCTACTTGTTATTGTACCCCATATTTTGAGCGTTCGGGGGACCGTAGAATACAAAGTGAAACACATTATTTAAGAGAACAGGTCGCTACATAATGAGATAAAAGGTATGGATATATACGCTGCTATGGATAAGCAATCACATGCTTGTCTTGAGGATACCCAAATCAACTTAAGAATGGTCCAGGACGGACGGAAACGTCGTCGTCCCTTCACCTTCTAGTGTGTGGTCCGGTCAACAAGCATTCTCAGTTGATAATTTAAACCAAAACACTTATCAAGATTCTATAGTGATCGATGTGATGTGTTGTCATAATATTGGTGACAGGTTATCCAGCACCAGTAGTAGAGTGGTGGTCGGGGGAGCAGCTGCTGGAGTCGTCGGTGACGCAGCCGGCCAGCACGCCCACCCACAGGAGCCGCGGGCGGGGCGAGGCGCCCCTCACGGTAGTCAGTGTCATACTTCACCTTGCCAGCCTCAGGAGGGAGGACAACGGGAGGGAGGTGACCTGCGTGGCTGCCAACACCAACCTCACACAACCTCACACTCAAGCCATCACCATACAAATGTATCGTGAGTAACTCTACGGTTTTAGCTACCCATGTTTGACTTACTAGAAGATGGTCTTGACATATGAGTATGTATATTTTTTTTTGAATAATATATATATTATTAAGTATATATATATATATATACTTAATACCTATATCTTAATACCTTATATATCTATATAAGGTATCTTAATACCTTATATATATATATATATATATACATACTATATTATATATAGTATATATATATATATATAATATATATATATATATATATATATATATATATTATATATATATATATAATATATGTGTGTGATTGTGTGTGTGTATATGT